TGGATCTGAAGACAAGATGAATTTTATATTTCGTGTATTGCTTTTTTTTTCCGTGTGTGTTGTTCCTGACGTTTTTCGATTTTTTTTGTAATTGTTAAAATTGTAGAAATGCAAATGAAGAACAACTCGCAGTGCAACGTTTTTATTAGCTTTTATTTCTCACAGCAGCTTCTCAAAGGTTCAGATTGTCTCGTCTTTAATCTCTTGTGAAGAGATGGTTTGTTTCTGTTTCATCGTTCATTACTTTACAGAGTTTATTCCGTATTAGAGATCCTTCGATTTGGTGCAATTTAAATGTTTAAACTTTGGACACTTTATTCTGTTCTATTTGATTTAATTCAGTTTAATTAAATTACGCCCGCTCTTCTAATTGGCCTTATCTTCAAGGTTCAACTGTGATTGGAGGACAGAGTGAAAAGGGGCGGGACTTAGGAAGGAACCTGTATAAAATAATTCTCAAATAACATCTGAGCGTTCATTTCTTTTAGTAAGCAGCCTTATTGTTTGATTTTGATCATAAAGGATGAAGCTGGACTCCACTGGGACATTTAGTTGAACTGTACATGGAAAGAGCATGCTGGGACTTTAAGAACTGATGATTCAGCTATAAATCAGTGTCATTACTCGGCCCGCTGTATACAGTGAGAGATCTATCAATCAGTGAGAAATCTGTTTCCTATTCTCCCCGACAGAGCAGTCAGTTTCATTACATCCACAATCCTCAGAATCCCCCTCAGTTTGTCTCAGTCCTCTCCTGCCAGATACACAATTACACCAAACAACATGTGAAGACGGAAAATGACCGATGGGCTTTTTTTCCAGCTGAAATCCTCTCAGACTGACGTAAACCTGACTCCGGCCAGCGCCGTCTTCCTCCCACAACACTGTTTGTTCGAGGAGAGCAGAGGAGAAACCCAACCGTTAGTGAGCCGTTCGCTGAGTGCAGACCGAAGGACGAGGACGAGGACGAGGAGGGAGACACTGTTTCTCTTCCTCCTCTAACATTTCTGTCTCTTCTCGCTGTTTTTAATGAAGAGGTCCACAGCAACCGTCTGGTTCTGATCCCCCTCCGGTTCCCCGGTGGGACCGCTCTGTCCGGTGAAGGTCACCTCACGCTGGGAAGAGGAGGCGTGAAAGGAGACAGGCTGGAGGTCGCCTGCTGAGTCTGAGCTCACAGTAACACGTCATCCATCACTCCTCTGCTGACCCTTTCATCCACTGCAGCTCTTTAGCTTTGTGCGCTCGTAAACCAGGGCTGCGTGTCGCTGCCGATACGATATATATAATGCGATTTTCACATTTTAGTCAGTCGGAAAACAAAAGAAGAGGGAGCGACAGGATGACGTAATTAAAAAGAGTGAACACAGGAAACAGGATGGAAATCTGAGTTTATGTTCCTCACACCCAGTTGACTTTGAAAGATCATTTTTAATGAATAAAGTCTCGTAAAGTCACAAACGATGTGAGAGTTAGTCAGATCTGTTGGTCTTTCTAAGCCTCCACTCACATTTGCTTGTAAAAGCGTTCTCTGCGGCGCCGTGGTTGGCTGAGCTGCCGTAGCACTAAAACAGTCTTTAGATTGGCCAATTTATGTTGTTAATTAACCACAGCCGCCGCTCACACACGCCAGCAGCGGTTGTCATCTCACCGGCTGAGAACCTGCAGCAGAAACCCAACCACACTGGTTTCTCGGGCGTGGACCAGCACGTGTTGACCTTTGCAGCACAGAGCGGTGCAGAGCAGATACGTGGGTTTTAAAGGCTGACAAAAACAAGAGCGCTGCGTGTCCTCTCTCTGACCTCCGTCCCTGATCACTGCGTGTGTTTGGGAGAGCAGACGTGACCTCATGGCGACCCGGCAGCGGCGGCGGCGTCTCCTCAGACGGCCTCTTATCTCTGCCAGCCTGGCCTCGGTGTGAGCTCACTGTGGGCGTATCTCTGCCATGGGGTTTATCTGTCGTCGCTGCTGGACTGCGTACAGTTTGACAGAATATAAACCCACTAAAGGACTCAGATAGACTGTAGCTTCATTTACTGACACTTTACAGCCTCACACAGCCAGCTGGCTCCTTGCAGTAGGCACTAAGCACTTAACGTTATATTTTTTGGCCGGTTTTATCAAAAACTGAGCGTGTGAGATTCTGGCTCAGTACAAACTGAACTTCTGTGATTACAAACTTCTCCTGTTTATACTCACTGGAGTTCTTTAAAGGACCAGTGTGTGGGATTTAGTTGCATCTAGCAGTAAAGCGCCACTTGCAGGCCCTCGCCTCACCCTCGCCTTCCAACAGTGTAGGAGAAACTACAGTGTACGATGACATTTATGTGTTAGTTTGTTTCTTTAATGAATGATTTAGTGTTATTTTAATCTGTTTTATTGTTTTGTCCAATCAGTGGCTCCACTGTGTTCTTCCTCTCGCTGTCTGATTCTGGCTGAGGAAGGTCTCCGAGGTGTGGGCGTCGGCTCTGTGCGCTGAGACCCAAACAGAAAGAACCTGCAGTCGTTTCAGTGGCTGTAACGCGGTCAGTCGGCGCTGTGTGAGCACGGTTGCCATTAACAACGGCGCCGAGAGGCAGCTGGGATGCTGTGCTGTTACTGATTAACCGTAAAACGCCGTTCCTTTGCACAGATACTGATCTCACCGGGAACAACGCAAACACACAGACCGTAAATCAGCCTGCAGTCCTGCTTCCACATCCAGAAAGACTAATCTATCCCTCATCTGAAACCTGGAACCCTTGAGGGCCTTCCTCCTCCAACCTCCAGGAACCTAAGGAACATTTAGTCCACTTAAAGTGCCATTAGGAAGAACTGGTTGCTTGTGTTGGAGTCGACACGCTCGGCATCACGTCCGTAATGCCCGCAGTCATTTTGGAGCTGTGTTTTCTTTAGATTTGTTTTATAGAAACATAAAAATCCACAGTCACATTCCTCACAGTTGTTTCATGTCCCGACGTGCGTGAGATTCTTCTACCACGCTACGCCTCCTGATTCTGCCGTTGAAGCTCATTAAACCGTGTTTTTCTGCCCGGTGTTGAGGATTGTTCTCGGCAGTGTTTTGGCTTTTGTTCTTGGGAGTTCTGTCTTTGCGTGTGGACAAACAGTTTCCCACAAACCACAGCTGAGGACAGGCAGCCACACTCCTCCCTCCCTCTCCCTCCCTCTCCCTCCATCTGCCCGACTACTTCTCTCCCTTTTCTGCTTCCTCTCCTTTTCCTCCCTCTGTCATATTTC